TGCGCACCTCGATAAGCCATTGATAAGTTCGTGAGTCTGCATAGTAACAAGCGTAACCTTGCACTCTGCGGGTGCAAAACGCATGCCGAAGGACGGCGTGAATTTTGTCAGTTCATAAAAAAACACCTGCGCCTCCCCTTTGAAGACAAGAACGATGTCCTTCAGGTCGTCAAGGTTTTCGTCAGCAGCTATTCGGACACCAGGGTTCTGAAATCCTTCGAGCGTTCGCCACGTTAGCTTATCCATTACGAGAGTAAATAGGAATAGAGAGTGGGCATTCCTGACGGATACCGCGTCATTTACTGAGGCGCACCCACTGACTGTGTGATTGGGCCATGTCTACGATTACCGTTAACTACTGGTGCATTATGTTACGCGGTTCTCGATTGAGTCGNATTCCTGACGGATACCGCGTCATTTACTGAGGCGCACCCACTGACTGTGTGATTGGGCCATGTCTACGATTACCGTTAACTACTGGTGCATTATGTTACGCGGTTCTCGATTGAGTCGACTGGTAAGTGTTCTCATCCTCCGTTGCCAGATCATACACTTTCCACCTCCCAGTCGCTTCCACTCACCACAGGGCTAGGCGAAAGAACCTTTGCGAGGTGTACGCTGCTCTGGCATGTAGAGTACATGTCCCAACCAGCGTAACTTATGAAGCCTGAGTAGTTGATCTATCTTGGGAAGTTCATTCTTCCCAAAACCATCTGGTGTACCTCAGCATTAGTCATGGGATAGCTTTCATGCGTTCTCTGCGCATAAAGATGACGTTTCTGATTCATAAAGCAGAATGGATCTCACTGTAGCAGTTTCCCAACCAGTTTCATGGTGGCAATTTACATTGTGCAGACGTGAAGCGCAGACCTAAGCGCACTGCTTAGGTTATTTTAAGTGTTTTGCCTTTTTAAGCATCCGAACCAAGGGGAGCAATATTGTCCGCGTGCTCGGTGTCCGTCTCGAGAGCATATATACCTCTGAAGTCTCCGAGGAAAGCCGACGTGGTTAACTCATGCGAAATCTTGCCGTGTAGTCGTAATCTTCCACAGGAATTCGCATAAAGTGTCCTCATAAGGGATATAAATTTGGAAGGGGGCGCTTGATTGGCAGACACCACCGAAGTCTCTGACAGTTGACAGAGTCAAAGCAACTTTTAGGTAATGAAAAACGACCAATGTGGGACGTTTAGAAGAGTAGCGGTGTAAAGCAAAAGTATGGTTTTGTGTATTCTCGGTCAGCGGAACCCAGCTTAATTTTCACGAACCCGTCTCCCTCGACAATTAGTCCATCTACGCAGACTAATGCCAAAGGGCTTCTTCGGTGCTGCGGCTGCCAAACTGACGCCACGATAGTTTCCCGCACGACTTTCGCCCGACCTAAAGCTGCCATCTTGACGTGGTGGTCGGGCTTGAGAGCTGCAATGATCCCGCGGGCTACACTGGCTGGAACTTCGTTCCACAAGGTGCAACCATGCCAGGAAGGCCAAAGGGGAGCAGCCAGACCAAGAGCAGCGAGACCCCGTACTACGAGTAATCGTGCTACGAGGCGGTCTGGGGGTAAAGTCGTACTGTCCTCTGCGACAGGAGTGTGAAGGCAGTAAGGTGTTTCCCCCAGGCGACCAGCATGTCCATATTTATGGAAGCAGCGATGCTGCCTTCCCCCGAGGAAGGGCGGGTTAGAAAATTTTGGCCCCAAAAATCGCACACTTCGGTCGCCCAACGGTTGGCCGTGACCATCAATCATCATCATCAACGACAGCATGACATCAGTAGCGGCACCTGCTGTGCGCAGCCGCATCAGG